GTAAGCTGCTTGTCAGCTTTTCACTTAGGCAAAGAAAAGCGGAAGGCTCCGCGTCGGAGACTTTATTATATTCATTTCCATTTTATTTGCCCATTTACAAGTTCTTCCTTCGTCCAACTTCTGTTTCGGCCTGTCCTAGCCTCTCATCTTCGTGGCCATATCCTTTTTGGGCAGGTCGAGTGCGGATGTCGTGTCCTGACTGCCGAGTTATGCCTTTATTTGGCACTTGACGGCAATTGCCTTCACTCAACTCAACCGAACTGAACCGAAATCCTGGGCTGAGCTGAGGAGCCGTTGCTCCTCGGTCGCTTATTGACTTGGCCGGCTATTGATAGAGCTTATTACGGATTACGGATTGTGGATTGCGGATTGGAGACCAAAGTCCGGGGGGGCTAACGGGGCGGATGGGTGATGGGATGGGTCACCCGAGTGACTCCTGATTTTCGACTTATTGCCGTTGTCTAACGAGACGTTCCGGCTGTAGGTTTTCAATCTAAATCTCATAAATATACCAAGCTTCCCAGTCCAGAAAAACATTTAAAAATGCTTTTAGGTCTCCAAGTGTGAATATATATTTATTTACTATATATTTAATATATTTATTCCTTATCAGCATCATTAGACGCGATGCTATAGCCATGTACTTTTATTTTATTATAAATAAATTAAATTGATTTTTTATTATTTTTTAAAACCAAAAAATATGATCCTTAAAGTGACGAATAAGCCAATTACCATTAATCTTACGAGCTTAAAACAACTTCTATCCAACTTCTACCTTAAAAAAAAGACATCAAATCATAATAAACTCGTCTCCTGACTTTCAAATAAATTTCTAAAAATCTCTGCCCGTTGGAGATTAAGAAATCAGACCTGGAAAATAGAACCTATAATCCTAGCGACTCAATTAAAGCGATTTGAGGCTGCAAACATGAGAACCAATTCTCCAGATCTGGATTTTCGATTTTGATTTCCTTTTGCCATTCGCTGCTCAGAGCGAGGCACTTTTCCACTCGAGTGCCGGCACACACAGCATAACTAAGGATAACTAAGGATCAGGCCAATACGGCAATTGTCCTGCCATGGTCCTTTCCCCTCCTTTTGGCCTTTTGGCTCAATGACCGCCAGGTCAGGTTGGTGGAGCTGAAACTAAAGCCAAAGCCAAAGCGCTCAATTAGAGGCTGTGGGTGGCGATCACTTCGAATCGCTTGGCCCAAGTAACAAAGCCGGGAACTGAAGAGGTGGAAAAGTTGGTGGAAAAGTGGATGGAAAACCGGAGAGGGGACGAGCCAGCAAATAAAAATATGACACGAGCTGGCATTTTTCTCGTGCATGTGGACCAGTTGACACTCACGCATATTCAGGCATTTTCTAGCTAGAAAGGAGGTGTGGCCGGGGGGCGTTGCTGGATTGTGACAGGGGGTTAGAGAACCCCAACCCCAACCCCTCCCCTTTTTCCTCTGCTGGTGCGACAATTGCGCCGCTGGCCACACGAGGCGAGAAGCTCTGGCCTGGACTGCTCATTTACACTTTGCCACATGTCCCAGTGTCTCGGAAATCTGTCGCATCAGCACTAAAGTCCCAGACTAACACGAGGTGTATGTGGACCAGTCCATTCCATTCTAGGATTCCAGGGGCGGGGTGCAAAAGGGGTGGGGTGTGTGTGGGCCAAAACAATGGGTGTTTGGGCAAGTCAAACGGTTTGCTGCATTATTGTGCGAGGTATTCGGCTAGCTGAAGCTTGAATCACAGCTAATAAGGAGTTACAACTCGATTTCTAGCTTGGCATTTAGTAAAATATTTATTAATGTATTTATTTTATTTTATAATAAAAAATTCCTAACTAGATGCCTTTGTATTTCATTTAATAATATTAATTTATAATATTTCAATGGAATCAGTGTTAAGAGATTTTATACCACATCTAGTATATTTTTATTTTTATTTATTTATTTTATACAATACTAAAATTAATTTTATTTATTTATTTATTTTAAACACAGGAAGTTAATAAAAAACTAAACCATTTTATTTATTTAAAAATTTTACTCTTTTAATATTAAATAAATAAAAAAAAATTTTCATTAAGGGGTAGCAACTAGTCGAGCCATTAGCTGCATATTTGTATTTCATATATGTGGCCTGTGGGTTTCTCAGCGTGTGTGTGAGATGTTAAGCAAATACAGTTATACTAGTTGTACAGTGGTGTCCAAACCCATTTTAGCCCCCAGAAATCTCCTGCTCCATTTTCACAAGCGCCGCGAGAAGTAAGTTTTGCTGACCATGACAACGACCGCATTTCCCTTTCCTCGCCGCCCCGGAAAGTGGGTGGGAAAATGAGCACGTTCCATGGCCAGTCGATGGCTAGTTGTCATTTGCCTCCTATCCACACCCACTATTCCCCCCGAAACTGTGTGCTTAATTCTGTTTACTTTGAAGCAAAACTTGGCATTCCCAAGTGTGTAATTTTAAATGTCAGCAACAAAAGCACAGAGGCATTTTCGGCCAAAACACATACTGATTTACTTAAAGTTTACTTGCAGAAGAAAAGGGGAGAAATTCAAAGCCGAGAGAAAAACATTTTGCTGCTGCCGGGGAAAAAGCTCGAGAGGAGAATGCCACTTAGGCAGCAAGCGAAACAATTAATAGCCCAGCAATTTCCGTTCGCCTTCTGCACAATCAGAAATTATATTAAGCCACCTGAGCCAGAGATCCGGGATCCAGAATCCGGGGATCCCTCGGTACCACCGAAAATTATTTCAAGGCACCAACCATATTTACTCTAATATTGAGTTTCAGCCATGGCACTTTGTTTCAATTAAAAGCCTGGCAAAGGGGCTGGAAAATTCAGATTGGCCCAATGGAGGAGGCACCTCGCCCCATTCCCCCAGCCACCTGACCCTTATAAAATTGCAACTGCCCGAACCGAACTGAGCTGAACCGTCAATTTGCTCAGTTACAAAGTAATTTTTAACCATATTGTTTACCCTCTCTCTGTGTGTGTGGCCCAAAATCAATTTAATATTATCATCGGTAATTCAATTTGTACTGTCAAGAGTGCAACGAAGAGTAAATGCACTCCCCACAATATGCATTTACTTTTTAAAATTTCATTTACCTTTTTTTCACTTAGCCTTTTCTGCTTCATGGATTTTGGCCTTTCAGAAACTACAGCTTAAAATCTGTTTGCACATCTAAATATGGCTGTAAATTTTGTGCATATTTAGGACAGTTTTACTGAATTTCTTAGCTAAGAAATTACCAGCATATTAGGAAATAAATATTGTGTGAACTTAATAATAACAATTTCATCTTCATTTATTTCTTCACAAAGCTAACTGATTTTCGACTTAAAAATAAATTGCAATAATTTGATATGACTTTAAAGATGCTTCGGCCGCTCAAATTTGCATGTGTTATTTGCTGACAATAAATTAATTCATAAATTTCCAGCCAGGCACAATATTGATTAATTGGTAAATACTCGACAGTTCAGGTGCGTAAAACTGTGTCATTTATGGTAAAGTCAAACAATTATTTATTTGTGGAGCCGGGGTGTTAAGGGTATATGCCAATCTATCTGGAGATCTCACTAAACCATATCTAAGCCACGAAACTAGAACAGCAAGTGTGTGGGAAGAGTGTGAAAAGTGTTTGAGTGCCAAGTGCACAAAAGACGCCCGCATCGGCGACATCGGATGATTATTAAAGGGGGTGTGGGACTAAGGACTAAGGACTAGGTACTGAGGACCTAGGATTTGGACATGGGCGACAGATAGGACACGTATCTAATAAAACGACTCGCACACGTACCCATACTAATGTGCTGGCTTCGATCCAGCCATCGCAGCTCAAATATTTGGGCCCGGCTTTTGTGAGCTCATTAAATTTCGTCAATGTAAATATGCCGCTGCAAAGGCAGAGTGCTGCCGAATGCAACACGTTGGTCCCTGTCCTGTCCGTATGCCTGTCCGTATCCCTGTCCGTATGCCTGTCCGTATCCCTGTCCGTGTCCGCGCCTTTTTCGGGGGACGAAGCAGGCGGCCGAGGGCAAACGACAGCCGGCATATGCACTTCCGGCACATTTCCTGTTGCGACTCCCAGTCCCTAGTCCTTCGTCCTTCGTTCTCTAAATTTATTACGTGCAAATGTAAATAGCGGCACGTGCGGGCCTCGTATCCTGCGCTCCACTGTCCCTTGCCTTTTGGAAAAGGTTCTAGTCTTGTGCCAGGAAAATCCCAATATGTGTCCTGATAATAATGAAAAGCTCCTAGTCGAGCTACCTGGATGTTATTTTCCACTGCTTGTTACTGAAATTAGAATATACTAACAGCTCAAAGAAAACTATAAAGAATATGCAAAGGAATAAAACAAAATTTACTATAACAAGATTCTAAATAATAATTTATTTCAATAAATAGGTAGTACACATTTCACTTTTATGGCTTAATGTAATTATCTTAATATTTATTTTAATATTTTTTAAACCCTATTTTTTATGGATTCCTGCAACGTAGTTTGACTGTTAAACAGGCTTACCATTTTGCAATCCAAAAAAATACCCGCTCTTTGTTCCCTTTTGTCGATAAAACTGCAACTGCCGATCCTCCTTTGGCTGCTCCTTCGTGGCAATAAAAATGTTCCCATCGCCAAACAAAGGCGAGGCAGCTTGCCGTCTGGAGTCCTTGGAGCTTCGAGTCCCGAGTTTTCTGTTTCCCGACTTGCAACGTTCTGTCAATAGATAATGCAGTCACCAGATACAAGCCACCAGATACGAGGGCAAACACTGCAATATGTACGTGCGCTTATTTGGAATATTTATTTTGACAAATTGACAGCGCAGACAGACAGACAGAGAAAAATAAGTAGGAGTGCTCAAAGTGCTAGACTTTTGTTCAGCTAATTGGAGCTAATCGGTGGAATTTTTGAGGAGGGGCAAAAAGAAAAAGGAAAAGCTAATCTAATCGATAATATGATTTTCTATTGTATTTCATTTCCAGCATCTCAAAGTAAACACCGCTAAAGGCATACCAATGGAAGCTAGGACAGTCTTATGATGAACTTGCTGGTGGTCAAGGAAAGCGGCGAGCGGATCGCCGACATCAGCTGTAGCCAAGAGCATAATAGAACCGAAACTCAGCCAAATCCCAGACGAATAGCCAATCATCGCAGTCGCAAGCTGGCGCAACTTGAGATTTCATCGGGATCGGGAGGATCTGGAACCGGAAATGGAAGTGGAAGTGGAAGTGGAAGCGGGAGCGGATGTGGACCTGCCTTTCGGTGGCAATTGCTTCTACTCCTACTGCTCTGCAATTGCATTGGTAAGTGGATGAATGGGAGGCCTCCAATTAACGAGCTCTTCTCTGGCGTTTGGCAAATGCCTATAAATGTTTTCGCTTTGCTTTCATATTCATATTACGATAATCCCGCACTATCGAAAGGCTAGAATGTCGGTAATTGACCACCACTTTGTTGCAATCGATATACCCATATTCCAGCTTTAACCACGTTTTGCCTGCCTGATTTTACCGGTTAAATCGATGTGTCACATCGATCTAACTGGCTAACCGTTCAGCTTAACCTTATTGATTTGCCTTTCGTTGACAGGCCGCTCGGTATGCACACTTAACCACTAATACACAAGCACCTACACAGAGAGCAATACATAACAAAATATGAATATTATTTTTGGCATGGTTTTGATAATAAATGTAATAATATCCTTACATATTAAAAAAAAATTTAAGCTCAATAATTAAAGTACCAACACCCAAAATAAACGAGTATTAAAACATTTTTTCACTAAACATTTTTTTATTGGTTTGACACAAAATTCCTTTCAAATAATAAGCATTTTTAAAATTTGCATAGGTTTTTTATTAAAATATCATGTACACCCTGGGGCGCCAAAGAAATCGTTTGGTGCCAAGTACCTTATTTTATTGAACGTTTCCTTAATGGTGGTTTTAAAAGCTTAACTATTTAGTTGCTGATTATTGCTCATTTGATAATACATTTTTTTCTCTGTGCAAACACACACACACACAGGGCCATCCACCCACACGGCCACTTAGCACATAGCATATGTAAATTTGTTCGAAATTGTGTTAATTGTTCAATCAATGTCTTCTCTTCATGGAAATGTCAATTGAAATGAAGATCTTACCGTTTCGAACAAAATCTCCTCAGTGGGCGCCTTCGAGCCGGACTTTGTGATTCCGCTGGAGAACGTGACCATCGCCCAAGGTCGGGACGCGACCTTTACGTGCGTTGTGAACAACCTTGGGGGTCATCGGGTGAGTGGTGACGGTTCGTCAGCCCCAGTCAAGGTATGTATCGGTTTCAAGCGCAGCGTTGAATTTTCCACTTCCGTTTTGTTTTGATTTTGATTTTTATTTCATTTTAGATTCCTTGATTTTCTTGATTTTTCAGTGACTTTTCCGTTCCGTTTCATTTGCCATTTCAAGTGCACAATATTCAAATAACTTAATACAGTTTTAACGATTTTCCAATCTAAAAGGCACCAATAACAATAACGAGTTCCCAACTGCACCACAATTATCGCAATTATGTAACCGTTAAGCGCACCTATTCACTATATACGCATATCTATAGTTAACTACCAGTATAACAGCCATAGCACCATTCAATATTTACGATTTATATATAGTACAACAAACCTACAAAAAATAAGTATGTATGTATATAGAGCACTCTGAATATTAAACGCCCCGATGCACAGCAACAACAAAAGCAACTACAAAGGCAGCAGCACCAGCGAATGCAACAACTGAGACAAAAGGACCTAACAATAACAGTAGCGAAAATAACAACAATCGCATTGAATCGATTCAATCGAATCGAATCGCAACGCAACGCATCGCATCGGCGAATCGAGCGGCGGCATCAAAATAAATTTAAATAAACATGGCACAATTTGTGCGATGCGAAACCGAGACCGAAAAATGCATAGCTTATTGTTTTTATCATCGTATTATATTATTATTAGCACTCACATTTAATTTATAACACTCACAAAGGGGGAAATGCGGGGAGTGCGGGGATCGGGGGTCCCGACCACGGCATTGTGCCAAAGAGTTTAAGCGATAAAAGAGCAGCGCACAATAAACCACCAACTGTAAGCGATTGTTGTTAACAACAATAAACAATCGTGAATCGTTAAAAAACGAAAGGAGAAAAAATACAATAATAAATGTAAAATAGCTATTATACAGCACCTCCCATGGGAAGTCTGTATGTGTGGGGTCGCATCGAATCGCGTAAACAATGAAAACAAATTAAGTCATTGTATCGGCAAGGATTTAATCTCTTTAAAGCCCGGTTATCCCTTCATCGCGAAAGTCATTCGTTCTAAGCGATCAACATGGGATTTTATAGGATTATTAAAAATCCATAACCGGTTTGCAAAGCGATGGATGGAGTTTATGGATTCGTTAATCGAAAACTTTTACTTTTAAATGCATGCATAAATAGGTATTTTTTAAAAATGACATTTATCTTTTTGAAAGTCTTAAAAATAAATGCTTTGAAAAAAAATAGCATTATGATATTTATTTGATGTGCACTATCCGTTAAAGCTCCTTTTTATCGGGCAAAATATCAGTCATTTGTTCGATAGTTTTCAGTATCCACACAAAAACACCTGCTATCAAAGCGTTTTTTATTTAATTGCCGACATTGAAGTGAAATTGGAGGACACCTTTAAAAGTGACCGGCAACAGTCCGGTTGAACTCATTTTGTTTCAGTTTTTCGAAGCTTTTATTGAATGTGTTTTTGTGTGTGCAATGTCCACAGTGTCAGGGCATAACCATCCATCGAAAATTGCACAAAAGTCGAGAAAATTCAAGGGCTTAGTTTAAGTTAACTTGAGTTTAATCCAAGTCCCAAAAAATGCATGCATTAAATATTTATTTTAGCTACATTTTTGATCCCATTTGAATACGTTTAAATAAAGGGTATTTGGCAGTCCTCACTACTTCTCTCCGAGTCTCCTTATCTCCCCTCCGTCTATGTCTCTGTCATTCTGCTTGTTTGCGTCGCGCATCAAAGAGTGTTAATCAACGAAATGGCATCATAAATAAAAATGCCATTTCATATAAATCCTTCGATGTTTCAATCAAACAAAAACAACCAAGCAAAACGGCAGAGAATATGGCTGTTGTGGACCGACAGAAAGAGAGAAGTAGTGCCCCTTGTCACAATATTTAAACAATAGCTGTATGCCAACATATAATTTATTCTGAACCTAATAAAATAAATTGCGAGGCGATGGATAACTGCTAGCATTAAAGAATATCGTATGCCCTGAAATTAAAGTACTAACATTTAATTGGTACCTTTCTGCGTTAAAATTAAAATCCATTTGTATTTGCTAAAATGTTTCTCTTAAAAGTAATTAATTGAGTAGTAATACTTAATCTATTGGTCAAGTTCAAGAGAAGTAACTTTAGCTAGTGCTCAATTCAGTGGGATGGGTTGGTGTTTTGTTTTGTTTTATGTTTTAAACAGCGAAACATTTAATGATGATACGTACCTGAAGCTCAGCAACTTTAATATTTCCCTTAAAAAACAACAATTAAAAACAAAGTGTGACCATGGTCGCATTTAATGCAGTTGAATGCAATCCACTCTTCGCCAACTATGCATAATTAAAGATCCCTTTTACAGGGAACTTTGGATGAATTGGCGAAACGCGACTTCTGCTGCTCATCCATTTGTTTAACAAGGATGCCAACAAAAATGCGAACAATGCGAAATTCATGGCATTGTTTCCATTTGCGTGCTGCTCTCTCCGTCGCACTCATTCTCTGCCGCTATCTCTATCTCTGTCCCTCTGTTTGTACTTTCTTTCTCGCTTTTCGGTTCGTTTTTTAGCCCACTTTTCTGGGCATCTTTTACCGTTTTTATTTTTGGTTAGTAAAATACAGTAAAATAAAATAAAATAAATTCAAGCGCACCGAGTTCAAACCGAAACAAACTTTGCACCATTTATGTATACATATATATATACAAATATATATATCCAATATGCGTGTTTGTGTGCGATTGCGATTGTAAGAGTGTGAGTGTGTGTGCGAATGTGTGCGTGGAGTTGTGCTTTATGTAGTCGTGTTGTCCATGTAGTAACTGTAGACTTACTTTATGACATTTGCTCGCTTTATTTGCATTTACATTTGAAAATTTTTTACAATCCGTTTTACATTTCCACTTCTCCACTCAGATTTTCCCTTCTTTTTTTTGGCCCCTCCTCTTTGTTTTCCTGATTTTTGTCACAATCCGTTTGAGCCTTTGTTTGAAATCCCCGACCGTCCAAAAAATCCCCCGATTTTCTCCATCCCATAGTATCCCCTTCCATACCATCCATGCATTACTCAATAAATTTGCTTTATTGAGTAAATAAATAAAGCGCCAGTGCCGCCGTCGCGCTGCAACATCAAACGTTCGTCCTGGCTGCTGTCCATGGGTATTTATTTTCCAAGAGGGCTCATAACCCATCACCCCGCTCCACATTTTTGAACTCCCACCTTTTGCCCCCTCCCGCTATTGACACACTCCAATGAAAAAAAGAAAGAAAAATGAAAAAAAAAACATGGAAACGGAAAAAAATAAATGCGGAGTCTGGGTCTCAGCTGTATTGGCATTCCTGCTTATTGGATTGCCGGACCCGCTACAATATAAACCTGCAAAACGGCTGCCGCGTTGGCAGATCACAAAGGACTAATGGAAAATATTTTATCACTTTTTAGTCAAAAGTTATATCAATCAGCGGCGATGAAAAAGAGCCAAAGCCATGGGGATTTTAGTTTCTAGCCCTACAAATTTAGCTCAAAAAGTTAAAAGGATTTTTCATATGCACTTCGTGCTCTCTTGTACGCAGAAAAAATGTGTCTACCTAAGAGGGGCTTAAGGCACTAACTAAGTACACTCAAAGCAAAAGTATAAATTCATTCATCAGAAACTTAAACAGTTTTTTGGCTTTCTTTGTAATTTTTTAAAAACTATTTTCTGCAGCTAATTTATTCTTTTAACATTTTTCAAAATTAAAACCTTCTTTTGTATATTTTTTTTTTTTTTGCTCAAATCTGTTAAAAGTTACAAAGAAGCCGAATGCTTATTGATATACTTTTAAAAACTGACAAAATATTTCCATTACAAGGACGAGTGTTTGAAGAATTTAATGTACGCTTTTGAGTCAAAACGAAATCATTTAAAATTACTTACCATCTGAAAATAATATATGTGAGAACATCAACAGAATAAATGATATATGCAAAGAGCCCTAATTATTTGGTAACCTAATTTTCCAAATTAATCAAATTACAAAACAATTCATTGTCAAAAATACAATCAGTTACCAAATGAAGGGGCTTGAGTAATGAAACTGTTAATTAAAAACTTTCTTCTTAAAGCAATATATATACGCTACTTCCTCAGAATAATGACCTGGGAATTCATAACCGCGAAGACACCATTCGGAAATGGGAATCATTCGAACAGGTTTGATTATGATTCATAAACTCGTAATACTCGTACTCGTACAAATCAGCCATCTATCTGTCAAGTTTTCTCCTGAGTGTACCGATCCGACTTTATCGTTAGTTCCTTTTCCACCGTTCCACCGTCCGCCGTTCCACCCGTTCCCCGTTTCACTTTCCGGATTTGCGACTTTGCGAATTTGCGAAACCCGTTCTCGTTTCGTCCGCACAAAGCCGCTTAAGCCTATTAGCTAAAACCCGTAGACTGCGCTCAGTCGGCACATCATAATGTTAATTAAAACTAGGCGGAGCGGAGGAGCAGGGAGGTGGCGCAGGGGCTAGGATTAGTGGGATGGGAGGATTGTGAGTGTTGCAACATTTGCCTGCCTGCACCATACATTTACGTTTACATTTTACATTCTACATTTGCGTACATATATATCCTTTTAGTCGTTATCCCCCCATCTCTCCTCTCTCTCTCTCTCTCTCTCTCTCTCCATTTAACATTAATCCACTCTTTTTTCTAATTGTGCATGCGATGTTAATGCCAACTGATTAGCCGCTTCACAACGCACCGCCAACTGCACCCATAATTCATGACTCTTGTGTTTCCTTTCCCTTCGTTTCTGTCTGTCTCCCTCTGTCCCTACCCCCCTCTCTCCATCTCTCTCTGTCCCCCTGTCTCTGTATGTGTGCCTTGCACATGTGAGCGTTACTTCCTGTTGTATGTATGTTTGTTTTATCTTTGCTCTTTGGTTACTCAAAAAACAAAAAAAAAAAAGGAAAAGAAACTATATATAGAACTGAATAAGAAATACGAGGCGATTGCATAAGCGCAAAATGTTAACTAATTGTTGAATGTTTCTTCTCTCCACACACAAAAACACAAACTAAAACCCATATCCACCGAAAAACGAAACAAAAAAAAAAAAACACTGAAATCCATTCGCCAAATGGCCAACGATGGACGCTGAAACCCGAAAACCGCAAACCCAATTCCACTAATTGCACTTGAAATATCCCCTTTCATATCTACCGGCCATAACAACACCACCAACAATGACTCTAACAATCTGCACTCGATGGCAAAAACCACCGGCAAAAAAAAATCCAAACCCAACCAACCCACCCAACAACCGAAAACTTGCAAAAACTTTGCCACTGCTCCTGTGCAAAATGGAAATGGCGTCAAATTGCGCGGACATCTGACGATGCCAACAACAACAACAAAAATACCAATAACAATGCTACACCAACGCAATACAACAACGAACGGAAAATGCACAACCCAAACCCAAATGCCCAACGTTGTAAATAAAAATTGTAAATAAACAACAACTTAATATTCCAATACACCAACACTTGAAATTCTAACAAAACTTAAAACTGATTACATGGGTTTTATCTTTTTTTCGGACTTCAACGAACAATTGTGGAAATCGCAAAAAATTTTCAACTAAATCAACAACACAAATATTCAACAATTTTTCAACAACCACAACAACGAAACAAATTTGGAAATACTTAAACAAACAACACGAATATGGAACAACCACAACTTTTTGGGTTCAATTTAACAACAACAACAAAACAACAACAAACAACAACAAACAACAACACTGACTGAATGGTGACAATGCGCGAATGTTGCCCAAAATGGCATTAACTAAATATAATGACCCCGAAACTTTTCCTGTGGGTGGATATCAAACTGCAATTTCCGAACATCTGGCGCTCACTCACACACACGTACACATATATCCTGGAACACAAACACAAACAACACTTTGACATGCAACAACGGCCAACCGTTGTCTTCATCAACACACACACTCACTCACTCACACACATTCAAACCGACGCTGTCATCAACTCAACAACAACAATGGTCATCCCTTTATCCCCACTACCATTTCCCCGATTTCCCTCGATTTACCCCGATTGCCCTCCCCGATTCCATTTGGCAAAACTGGCACCATCAGGTCGCCTGGATTAAGGCCGATGCCAAGGCAATTCTGGCCATTCACGAGCACGTGATAACCAACAATGATCGATTATCGGTGCAGCACAACGACTACAACACATGGACGCTCAACATACGCAGCGTCAAAATGGAGGATGCCGGCAAATACATGTGTCAGGTCAACACGGATCCCATGAAGATGCAGGTGAGTGCCGAGCTGTGGAGCTGTGCTCTGATTTAAGTTGACATTCCCCGGAAAAGCGAATCATTTGTTTTCCTTCGAGGTTGCAATAACAGTCAGGCATTTGAGGTTGAAGGTTATGATATGATATGACATCGAATCGTTACTAACAACTCACTGATGAAAACAACAAATTAAAGAATGTTTAGGTCACCTTTTCTTAAAAATGCTATGACCCGACATCAAATCTTTACTAGCACAGTGATAAAAAAATTAGGCACAATATATAAAAGCATACTTCAGGACAGCTTTTCAAATTACTTTCAATGGTTTCTTAAAATTTCCGATGAAAAAGAAAATTCGAGTAAAAAAGTACATACGTTAATCAAGTATTTTATCTGCACCACAAAGAAAATCAATTTTGGGTCACTCCATGTTAAATAATTAAATTAAAAATAAAAAATAATTTTCTTTCGATTCTATTTTACATGTTTTGTTTAATCCTGCGCCGTTAATATTAATATTAATAAAAATCTGAAACTAATTTGATTAATTTCTTTGAAACTTTCACCAAAAAGTTTAATCTTTTGGAAAATTTTTTTTTTATAAATTGTATTTTCAATTTTTATTATTTATTTTCTGTACTTTGAATTTCCATTAAAAACCTAAATACTGTTCTATTCATTGGTTTCATAAAATCTTCGACAGAAAGCACGACAAATACATATTAGCAGGTTTTTTGTTGTTGTGTTACTTGCAACTGTATGGAAAGCCTTTCTTCTTTTTCGCAAGCCTAATTTCTTGAAACTAACAAAGCATCAAAGCTATCGTCTTTCAGTTGCCTTTTTCGAAGGCAGCGAAAAAAAGTTGCAGAAATAGTAGGGGTATAATGAAATTATGCCGGGAATGTCGGAGATCCCTCTTTGGTCCGTGTGCGTGTGTGTGTGTATATCCTGGCCTCCGATTTTCTTTCTTTGTGTGTGCATGTGGGGTGACATTTAAACACGATATATAAACAATGAAGCGCTTTAATGACAAAAATAAATAACAAACACAGTGCCGTTGCAATGTTGACGTCATCAAAGAGCGCTTATATGGGGCTATGTGTGTGTGTGTGTATTTTCCTCTGGAATTTTCCGGGGGGAATTTTCCCATGAGTGTGTGAGAGCGTGGCTCTCATGTGACGTTTGCTGTTACTCGAGTCGAGTCGGGAGTCGAGTTGAATTGAGTTCTTTTTTTGTACGTATTTTTTTTTATGAAGCGCCACCCCACCATTAAACGACATGTGGAAAACGATTGCGTTTTCAATTTCATTTATGCTGCAAGGATGATGGGGGAAAATGTGAGTGTGGGTGGCTCCGCCGGTTTGTAATAAAATCAACCTAACAAAGCGAATTGAGTGAAAAGCAAATATGAGACAAATAAAAAGCAAACAGGCTTGACATTTCTCCAGCTTTCTCGCTTTCTCGCTTGCCGCCGTCCTGCTTTCAAGCCTTTTTTTATTTTTGCACTCACAGTCGTATAAATTTCGAGCTCGGCTCGTTTGGGGGTTTCCATTTCTCTGCCAGCCAACCCAGCCTCTTCGTTTTTTCGCCTTTTTTTTTCCCCCAGTGACGTCAACTTTATTTTATGACACAACTGTCAACTGCAGCGGGAACAATGACAATGACAACGACAATGATAGCAGCAATTCGGTTATTGTTGCTAGCAGCCAGCGACCGCAAAATGAAACAAATGTTAAAAAAAAGAAATGGCGGTAAAAAATGGAGAAAGGGAAAGCTGCGGGACATTGGGCTTTATAATGAGACGCAAATTGGTCGCAGAGTGCGCCTAAAATGTTGACCAATAACCATTGAAAACGGCCCTCTTTATTGCTATTTATTATGGCATTTAGCTAAAAGTGCAACGAATAAAAGGTATTACATTAAATTTGAATTACGCAATTACTTCAAGGACATTAAAAACTTAATTTAAAAAAAAGGAAGGAATGACAAGCTGATTAATTATTATTAGAGTTCAAATTTTCGGTAAAAATTATATAACATTTATCGATATATGCATAAGGTTATTTTTTATGGATTTTATTAATAAACAAATCAGTTCAACTGTGTGTATACGTTACGTACATAACATATTACGTATACGTATCGCGTATTCGTGCAATCTTTGAAACATTATTTATTCCCCGAACTTTTTTCGCTTACAGACCGCCACCTTAGAGGTGGTCATTCCGCCGGACATCATCAACGAAGAGACCTCTGGAGATATGATGGTTCCCGAGGGCGGATCCGCCAAGCTCGTCTGCCGAGCACGCGGTCATCCCAAACCCAAGATCACGTGGCGACGCGAGGACGGCAGGGAGATCATTGCCCGCAATGGCTCGCACCAGAAAACAAAAGGTAATTAAATTATCTTAGAAATTATTAACGATTTTACGATTTTACTTTTGAATTGATTAAAGTGTTAGGCAATATTAATTTATTTCTTTAATTTTTAAAATCACAAAGTACCACTTAAAATTAAAATAAAATAACAAAACTAATTTAAATTAAATTTCCAACAAATAAATAATTTGCCAGCTCTAAATGTTAATGGTATTAAATCTAAATCAATATTTGTCTTTATCAAAAAAACGGTTAGTATCAAATTTTACCCAGAACGGATTGACATAAAAATCTAATTAGATATAAGCATATATCTCAAGTGTAAAATCATTTTAGTTACACAATATGAACGGTTGGCTTTTTTAAAGATTTTTAGTAAGTTATATAAAACACGGTTAGCATGTTTTTTTTAATTATTTTATTTTTTTAAATGTCAAGGGAATAACTGTTATACATAAAAATCAACAAATAACAGTTATTTTTTTAGTTTTATTATAAAAATCAAATAAATAAACATCATACAAATCCGTAGTACACTACAATGGCCAACAAAAATAATGGTGTATTTAAACAATTTTAGAAATCTTCTAAGTGCATAATTTTTTTGGTAAGAAAAATTTACAATAACAGTTATTTTCGGTCCCTGGTAAAATGCCATAGGGCTGATGAGTTAATTTAAGCAGGGACCTACATATTTTCATTATATTTAGTTCTTGTAGCACCAGGAAATAAGAAAGAAATAAATTAAATTACATTTAATTCCGAAAGTCCTTAAAATCATTAAAAAGCACCATGATTTAAACCCCTTAGTTTCGCCCCTTTAAACTGACTAACCAACCACTTGTCTTTAATATAAACATACACTCATATACACTTGTATCCTTGCCATCCTTGCAGCCCAATCGGTGGAGGGTGAAATGCTGACGCTGTCGAAGATCACGCGATCGGAAATGGGCGCCTACATGTGCATCGCCTCCAACGGAGTGCCGCCGACGGTGAGCAAGCGGATGAAGCTACAGGTGCACTGTGAGTATACCATGCCTACATACATACATATATGTATCATCTATCCATATATGATATATGATAAATGGGTGGCGCCACCTGCTGCTCGGTTGGCCAAGAAAATGCTCTGATTTATGGCAGTCGAAGGCAGCTAATGCCGCATAATAATCATAATGGTAACATATAGCACCGCTCGGATGTGATGTGCGTGTTCCAGAAGGGAGCCGCTATATGGCCAACTATAAACGGGAAGCAAAAACGGAAGCGGAAGGGGAACAGGAACAGAACCGCAGCAATAACGCAGCGGCGGCAACTGCAAGTGTTTCCGTTTCGATATCCGGCAGCTTCCTTCACGTGGCCGGCAAACTTTCCAAATGCATTAAGGCGCCAAACTGAAGGATGTGGATGTGTGGGGGTCAAAGGGCATTTTTCTGGGGGCTGCGAAGCGGGGGAAAAACTGTTTCTTGGGGCAACGCAACGTCACGTTTCTGCAGTAAAACTTTAAACTCGTGTGTGTGCGGGTGTGGGTGCACCATGTGAAGTGGTAATTGTTAAGGGCAGTTCTACACTATCCCTCTGTCTGCCCACATGAAAACCCTCTTAAAAACCCCCTTAAAACCCCTCTCCTCAAACTGTTTTACCTTCCCGCATCAAAGTTAATGAAATTTTCCAAAAGGGGCAAAAGTTCAAACGACGACAATTTGGCTAGCGAGGCAACGGGAAAATACAGGAAAAAAACGTGAAAAAGGGGAATAAGGAAAAAAGGAAGAAAATTGTGGGGAGAAAAGCGAAGAATACCAAGAAGTATCAGCTTGTCGGGGAAAACCCAAAAGATCGTATCCGAAAAATTATATTGACACGGTCGTGAAAATGTGGCGCCATTTCTTGTATTTTTTTTTTTTTGCAAAAAAAAACGCACATCCTGTTGATTCTCTCTCTCTTTGGCCGCAAAAATTAATTTTCCTTTCTTATTTTATTTTATCTATGCCACAAATTCGTTTTCCTTTGTCATTTCATTCCCATTTTCACGTGGCTCTTAAAGAGGCTCTCTTTCTGCTCCTGTTTGGTCCTCGAGATTTCAATTTAAAAATCCATATGTGCGAAATGTTTGGGGAAAGTCGCGTTACTTCAGCGTCCCACTTTCACCCAACAGCTTGATTGATTCTAATCAGAAAATTAAGTGGCTCCTTGGAGGTTTTTCGCGGAATATTAGGGCTAAGTGCGTGTGGCAGTTGAAAGATTTAAAAGGCATTTAGATTGCTTTAGCTTTATTTTCAGACTTGAAAACTTAACAATTTAGCTTACAAACTAAAACATTAAGTAGTCTAGAGAATGTTGTTATCATGGTTATAGTATTTCCTATTTAGTATTTTTTTTTATTATATAATATTGTAAACAACACAAAAACATAGGAAAAAAAAGTTAGGAACTTTTTAGGAATCTTTTATTTTTTTAAACAAATGGGTAATTCTTCTTTTTTTTTTTTTGTTTGCGATGTCATTGTGTTTTTTTAGAAGTTGTGGGTGAGTTACTAATTATTTGCGGAATCTGCGTAGATGTCTGCAAATCTCCCCCTCCATCACCGCACTTGTCTTCAACTCAAACTTTTTGGATGAAAATAGAAAACAATGGACTCAGTTCAAACATGGGACCAGGCCAGCTGTTGCCACACGAGGAAGAAAACAAGAGACCGGCGAATAATTAGAAGCGAAGAATTTGCGCTTCGAGTCTTCTGCGGGTTCTCACCGCGCTCTTCTATTCTTCAAAGAATCCAGCTAAGCACACAGGCAGCTTGACGTCACTGACGTCATGGGGGATTCTTGGATTTTTTGGCAATGTTTTTGGGTATAAAAGCGGCTTCGCAACGTTCACTCAAATCAGTTGCAATCGAAAAGCCAAAGTCTGAGAATGCGTGCCTACATTGCAATTACCCTTCTGGCCCTGGTGGCAGTGGTGGTGGCCCAAGGAGGCGGCGGAAGACGCGGAGGACGTGGAGGTGGCCGAGGAGGCGGCGGCGGCGGTGGTCGCAGCGTAGGATCCTTCAACAGACGCGGACGCTTTGACTTTGATCAGGACTTTGAAGGCGGCTTTGGCGGACCTGGCGACTTCAGAGGTCCTCGAGGCGGTTTCGGCGGTCCCGGTCGTTTCGGCGGTGGTCGTGGCGGCTTCGGCGGTCCTGGCAGATGGGGTCCACCTCGGGGTCCACCCAGGGGTCGTCGCCCCAGGCCTTGCCGCACCACCACCGAGAGTTCCCTGGCCGACAGCTCCTCCAGCTCCACCGATAGCAGCTCCTCCGATAGCGTTACCAATAGCTCCACCGATAGCAGCTCTTCCGATAGCGCTACCGAGAGCAGCTCCACCGATAGCAGCTCTTCCGATAGCGCCACCGAAAGCTCCTCTGCTAGCTCCACAGAGAGCTCCACCGATTCGGGATAGATTTAAAGACTCACTTGCAGAGTATTGAAAACTTCCAGGGAATAGGCATACAAAATGTATAAAAATAAAATCCATTTGGCACATTGAAAAACCCCGTTTTCATGTTCCTCCTAAATCTTGTTTATGCATAACTTGTGTTGAATTAATAGGAACTACAACTACTACTGGGTTATGTTTAAAGATAAGTTTAAAGGTCATTAACGATAATTTTTGGTATAATTAACATTTTTTTTATATCTATCTATAACATCCCCAGTTATGTGATAAAATTAAAAAAGTAAATTAGTTTGCTATTTGAATGACTTAACTTTGTTAGAAGTAATATGGGCTTCTATCTCTCTGCCGCCTGGCAGCTGCTGCCTGCTGCCTGTTGGAAAGCTCTATTAGGACAAATTGAATTTTCAATAAGTGGTAGGCTAAAGCGGGAATTGGGCATTATAGGGTCTCTCCCTCTGCGAACACAGCACATGACATATGCTGCACCATTCCGGATCCGAAGAGGAGTCGTGGCGAGGAAGAGGACACAACGGACAGAACGGACAGTACGGACAGAACGGACAGTAGGGAACGTACGGACACCACATGGAGCCGTGCCGAGAGTGCGCCATGCACAAATCCAATAAATTGACCAATAATGAACGCTCGAATGCAGCGAAAGGCGGAAGGCGAAAGGGAAAGGGGGATGGGGACTCACTGAGCTGAGCAAAGTTGAAAAGCCAAAAAACAATGATGGTCAGTGGCTCTGGCCTGCGGTCCTTTGGTCCTTCGCTTCTCCGGCTGCGCTCCCCGGGGGCGGCTTCAAGACAACGTCAAAGACGAGGGCAAAAGGGCCAGAGAAAACAGCCAAAAAAACAAAGTGCAAAAAAACGACTTTGCAAAAAATTTAAAAATGAACGAAAAAAAATCTCAACACGATACGAACTACATGGAAAAGCTCCAAAGGGCAAACCCAATGAATTAATGGCGTGTCCTCAGCGAACTTGATATGCTCTAATGGAATAAAAGTTCAAATAAAATAATTGGCAAACCTTCGAAAATATTTAAAGAATTTGTGCAAACTAACAATTTTAATAAGCTGTAAAAAATGTATTATTTTTTTAGTTTAAATCATTTTAATGCTAAATTTTTATAATTTTGTATATTAACATCGAGAGCAAAAAATAATCCAATTATTAAAGCAAGTCAACCTCCCAAGCCAAAAATCGATTTGTTTAGAAGAATCATTAATCCGTTCGGAAATCATCATTCCTTGGGCTGTATAAGCCAATTCCCAGCCCAGATGAGTGAGTGTATCCCTCTAACAGGGAGTGGAAAATGGGGAAAAGCTAGCTCGTTTTATTTGCCACTGACTGACCGACCGACCACTGGGTGAAAACGATGGATGCTGCTACTGCTGCTGCCAGGATTGCTGGCTTTCACTCTAACAACAAAATAATTCATTTTCAATTAAAATCGTATCAGTTGTTGTTGTTGCTGGCGCTGCCATTAACCGACAACAAAAAAACGAAGAAAATGTCCGAAAAAAAAACGAAAACGTAGGGCGGGCAAAATCACAGCTGGAATCTGCAGTCCGACAAAAGGGTTTGAAGTTTGACTTTGGTCCCTTGTGGCCAGCTTAATTGCCGGTCTAGTCCGCGGGGGCATCGGCATCGAGGGGTTAAACGGGCTGCCAGCGACAAGGTCACAAACACACTGATGGTTTAACAATTGCCACTGCCACACAGAAAAAAAAATTAACAAAAAATCAGATTGATATGTCTTGGTCAATTTTATGATATTTCATTTGATTTTGATATGAATAAAGGTTGTATTTATCTTATTTTACATACTTAATTCGGTATTTTACATGATATGATAAAATATCATATTGATAAGTTTAAATCATAAATCTGACATAAACCAAACCGGCCTTTTATTGATAAGAAATAAGCTAGAATTGACCCTATTTCATATCGAATTTTTTTCTGTGCAGCAGATTTAACTCCTTTCGATCCCTTCGGTATTCTCCTTCTTCGCAGTTCATCCACTGGTGCAAGTGCCAAATCAATTGGTTGGCGCCCCCGTCCTCACGGATGTCACATTAATTTGCAATGTCGAGGCATCGCCGAAGGCCATCAATTATTGGCAGCGCGAGAATGGTAAGTCGGAAAAATCACGCCACCGAAAACAATTTTCACATCATCCAAAAATCACTCCAACAATCTTTGATTTGATATATAGTTCAGTATTAACTAAATATGTTATCCTTTTAATCGTTTGTTTATAAAACGAGGGATTTTTTCGTGTTTGAAATAATAATTATTTTCTTAAAAAAAGAATTTAAATAGTTAAAATAATGGCCTTGGTATTCAGATAAATTTTAATAATTTGGAAAACTTAATTGCTAAATAAATGTTACCTTATGAGTTAAGTTGCTCAAAAAAATATGATTAGTTACTTCGAAAAACCATTTAATATTTTATTTCAGTCCCTTGAGTAATCAATTCAGTTTGCTTTATTTTATTTACATTTAATGTAACTTGACATATTTTTTTATCCGCTTTGCTGATGAGCGGGGAGTGGCCACCAAGTGAATTTTTCATTTAGCATCTGTTCGAGTTGGAACTCGGACTGGTTCAAACTTTATAAACCTTTCAATGCCGCAATTTGTCTTTATTTGGTTCGTGTTCGAAGCTCAAATATTTTGTTGTCCCCTCGGGAAAAGTGGAAAAGCTGGTGGAGATGAAGAGGGAGACCTGGCTGGCTGGCTGGATCTTTTGTCAAGTGCATTTGACGTATATTGCAAACGTGACGGGAGCCGCAACGTAAGCGTCAAACACTCGCCAGAAATGTCATCATCCATGGCTTCTCGTCTCGTCACCTTTCTCCACCACCTCTCTCCACCTTTCTCCTCACGTAAACCGAGCTCATTTGGCCCGATTCCCTGCTTCGTATTCATGACTTCATTCACACCTCAACTCAACTCAACTCAAGTCATCTCATCTCGTTTTCATCGTTGCTCATTTGGTATTTCTGTTTTTTTTTTTTGCCTGAAAACAGGTGAAATGATTATTGCCGGCGATCGTTATGCGCTCACCGAAAAGGAGAATAATATGTACGCCATCGAGATGATTCTGCACATCAAACGACTGCAATCGAGCGATTTCGGCGGCTACAAGTGCATCTCCAAAAATAGCATCGGCGACACCGAGGGCACCATCCGGCTTTATGGTAAGATTTTAAGTATTTGCAAAACTTTATAACCCTACCCTAAGTATCTGCAAACAGGACTATGTGAAAATAAGGTCAAATATGTATATATTAAAATTTTTTTAATCCTGTTTTCAACCACTTACTAGTAAAATAAAAATATAACAATTTTTTCAGCAACAGAAAAAAATTCTAAAAGAAGACACAAAGGTATTATTTGACCATATAATATAAAGAATTGTATGTTTAAACAGGATCAATATAAGTAATTTCCAACACGCTACATAAAAAAGGAAAAATGAGGGAAAATAAAAAAAAATCGAATAGGGATATATAGGTCGTATATAAAGACAATCCTTAACAAAATCTTTGAAATAGTGTAAATTTTATAAAAATTATAAATTGTATATTGTACGGTTGTTATTATAACTTTGCTTAGACCGCGACTAAAATTCGCTTTAATTTCCCGTTGTACTTCCAGAAATGGAGCGACCCGGCACTCAGAAAAAAATTCGTGATGATGATCTCAACGAAGTGTCGGTAAGTCTACGTCCCTCAAACAAAAAAAGAACTGCCTAATCATTTTGAAAAGAGTCGAATCAAATCAGAAAAAAAAACTAAATTCCCCTGTTTTCTTTTCTCTTTTATCCCTTTTCCCCAGAAGAACGAGGTGGTGCAAAAGGACACGCGCAGCGAGGACGGGTCACGCAACCTGAACGGAAGGCTCTACAAGGACCGGGCTCCGGATCAGCACCCGGCCAGCGGGGGCGACCCCGTGCTCCTCGTCCGAGGACCAAGGCGGCTAATCGGTATATTTCTATTAGCCTTATTGGTTTTATTAACGGCAATGGCGGAGGCCGGGCCAACCACATTGTTCTGCCGCACAAAGGGCGGCAGACAAAAGAATGCCGGGGCAACGAGTTTGAATGGGCGGCGGCAGGATATGAAGGATAAGAAGTGGAGCAAGTTCTGGGAAAGATCAGCGCGGAGTTGGAGCAGCGGGGCGAAGGCGGCAGAGTAAGATTATTATAGCTTAATTCAATTGTAATTATACAAACAAGATTATGATGCAAGGAGCTCCTGCCCCACATCCACACAAAAGAGGGCATTAATCACCCCCCTAATCATCTACGCCCATGCTAATTGCAAAGGGGGTGGTTAGGAGGGTGGTTAAGGGGGCAGGGCTAATTGAATGCATATTAAATCAAAAGGAGGAAGGAGAAACTAAAGTGTCGTAGTTAAGTGGAAAAGAAAACGCGTTTAAATGTTACCTCGTTAGTGGAAAATGATGATGGAAAGGATGAAGGCCCCAGTCCCACAAAAGGAAAGTCAACTATAAACAATATTGAGATTAAAAATGGTGTTCGGTTCTTTAAAAGGCTTTAGCTACTCTGAAGTGAAAACAGAAAAACAAAAAAAAAAACAGTATGATACGGTAATGGACATTGATATGGATATTTCTAGATGTCTAAAGAATAAGTCAGGTTTTTTTTTGCGTTCATTCAAAACTTAATTCGTTGGGTTTTCTAGAAGAAATATACGCATACATAAACGCATCTGTATGTATTAAGTGTTTAATGGAAAGAGTTCTGTATATATATTTAAGGCCTGCTCAAAGAGAAGGAAAATTTATGGCTAAAGGGGAAAATGTTTAGACGATCTTTGCAAACTGTAAATATTTATAACCTTAGTGATCCCGAACTATTGTAGTTTTGTTGTTATCATGGAAAAATGGCTCTATTTTTTGGCCCCTCTGTTGTCACCTTCGTTCTCACGGCTCAAAAGACTAATGCGGACCCTAGGCTTAAGCCAATTTTGGAAACCCCTAAGACATTAATCCGCTAAAACTGTGTGTGTGTGATTTTTAGCTTTAAAAATTAAACACCGAGTTGAAATATAAAAAAAAAAATTTAAGGCATGCCATTTATGTTCCTCATAGACCCTTCGGTGTGCTGAGTTCGAATCTGGCCATAAAAATGGAAAAAATCCACCTCAAAGTTAGAAGCATTATCTACATAATTTGATTATCTGTGGTAGTTTAGAATTCAGCAAACCGAAACCCATTTCGAATATAAACTTTACTATATTTTGCATAATTTTTTTGTAATAATTTATTTTTAATTTATTTTATATCACACGAATCTGTACAGTTTATATATTTTATTATCTATTTTAAAAATTCTGAGATATTCATTTTCTTCAGCCAGATTCCCACACACACCGAAACCAGCCATAGAACCCATACACATACATATATTTTGATGTAATACTCGTGTGTACGTGTTCAGCTCAATTCAATGTTTAAATATAATGTAAATCAAAGGGAAGAAAATCAGAAAAAGCAGAAATAAATGTGCCAAAAGCATTAAAAGCAACTCGCAGCAAAGGCGAAAGTAAGCAGAGGTAAATACGAAAATGAAAATGAAAATAAAATGTGTGTGTGTCATATCCGAATTACAAAATACAGTAATACCCAGACATATGTATAATCCGCATATCCAACTCCGCTTTCCCAAAACCCAAGGTCCGAAATCCAAAATCCAGCTAGTAAAAGTTATTTGAAAACTGACTACTCAGATGTACTCTGACTCATATACGTACCAAGAGGAAAGAAAGAGAAGGCAAATGTATGGAGAGCGAGAAGGGGATGAAGGCGAGATACATTTTAAATATACATATATGTATAATGAAAGTGTAAGAGAATAAAGTTAATTAAATATAGGTAATATTTTTTTTTGCGGGTACGAGAGTAACGTAATCGCCTAGCAAATCAAAGTTACGTTTAATCTATACGTGTAAGCAAATGGAAATAAATAATTTATTCATCCCAAATGGAGTCCCATTGTTGAGAGGAAAACTACATTTAGTGGAAATTGCAGGCGGAGTAAGACAGGCAAACTAAACTATAGTAAAACCTAAGAATTAACGAACTAAGGCAGAAAACCATTCAAATCATAAAGCATTCAATGTCTACGCTACAGCCCTACAAAGATAAACCATAAACAACAAAAACAAAAAAAGTATACAAATATTTGACAACTACATATGCAATGAGAATATCCAACAATTTCAAAAAGGTAAAATCCAAAAAGGAAACGAAAGTTTGCTGCGTAATAATGCGAAATTCCCTGATTCTCGAACGACAAAAGAAAGAAAAACATAAAGATGATAGCATTTAGTTGGATTTGTGTTTATGTACATAAGAAATGAGCGAAAACCAATGTTTGTACTGTAAAATCTGATTATACAACTGAATATTCCGATACGCGCAATCGAAAAAAACACCCAAAAAAAGAAAAGAAAAAAAAAGAAAAATAAATAAAGAGAAATACCTATGGAAACCTTAAAGGCATACTATTAATTTTTATGTGGTATGGTAAGTTTAGAGGGGTTGCTATATTTTTATTAATTTTTTAGTTCTAAAATAGGCTAAATACTTTTTCGGAGTAGGTAAGTATTTTTTGTACTGGGGAGATATACCCCCCATTCAGGGGAATGTGTTATTCAAAAAGTATGCAAAAAAGAAATTGTTCTGATATCACAAGTAGTACTTTATTTCACACTTTTAAGCGTCCAACTAAAAATTAAACATAGTTTTATTTTACACAGACAAATAAAAATATATTTTCCAAGTCATTAAGAACTTTAGGCATTTTGCCATATGTTTTTACCCAATTATTTGCCAGATAAAATCAACATTGAATAGCTTCAGGCATCTTAAACTCTTTATTGAATGTTGAATATATTTTTAAAATATTACTCCAACTTCCGAGTGGATGTGTCAATGCAAATTTTTGCCCACCGGTATGTGTGGGCTGATTATGAAAAAAACCACAAGTGCTAAATGAAAGCTGGGCGGAAATGTGGGATCAGCAATGTGTGAGAGCATTGAGCTCGATTTGTTTCGTAAAGAATAAATACAAAATTCAAATGCAAACACAAACACAAACACGAAGTGTGCAAATATTTTCGATGTGTGTTTGCCCAGTGTGTGTTTTGCATTGGTCAAATGATGGTTGCCAACAGCAGAGGAACTAACTAACATTTTGTATTTATTTTAAGTTGCAGCTACAAAATATGCACACAACTCCGGCCGAGTTATTTATATTGCACAGACTCGCACAATGGATGAAACACAGTGTTGTGTTGTGTGACAATGTTGCCCCAAAACGTTGCACTCACCGCAGCACAGAAACGAAACCACCGACTCACATCCGCCCTTCCCCTTCCCCTTCCGCTCTTCCAGCCTAAAAACGAAAATGGAAAATGGAAAAAATATCTTTGCATTTGCATCTTTTATACTCACACGACACAAATAAAGGCCAAGGGAGGGAGCGAAGATTGCGTTTATAACAATGTGCAGGGTTATGTCAACCAGAACCAGAAGCAGAATGAGGACGAGCATTGGGGGGTGAGCTCAGGGGTGGCGGAAAGGGGATCGCTAATACACTGCAGAAAAAGTAACTGGATTTTGAATTAAATTTCATGATTTTTACCCTTATAACATACCAAAAATGTTGACTTTACATAACCTACAAGTTCGTTAAGTCATTTAAGTTCCTTTTAAAAATATTCCAAATTGAAATTAGGGGTTAGCTATAAGATATAGGGTTTTTGAACTAATCTTGGAATAGAAAATTATTTATAACACAGGCCAACAGAAGTTTTGGTTTATTAGCCCTGGTTATTCCGGTAACATTAATTTAAGAAAATCACAATTTTTATTCTTCTTTTGGTATATGTATATCTTGAAGAGTGGTTAACCAATTTTGTTATTTAAATTAAATAGTTACATGTCTTTTTTATATGATCGTTTTTGAATCTTTAATTTAACTTAACCACAAGACAATATAAACTTATTTTAAAGTCAAAGCAAAGTTTTAAAAACCTCATTTGTGAACAGCGTTTAAAAATGAAATAATAATATTTTCTTTTACAATTCTTTTTTGACTCAAAGATAATTTATATCCCTAATTTTTAAGCCACTCAGGTTTGTTTGAATTGTTTTGGAATAAAAATGGTTTTTCTTACTTTCTTCCCAGTGACCATTTACAAACTGTGCCCAAACCTGTCACAACATTAAATAAAATAATTCTATACGGTCTAAGTAGAAATGCCTGAACTGTAATTTTCCTACAGCTTATAACTTAGGCCCATAAAAAAATATGCTTAAATCAAGGGTAACTTGTGCTGAAAATTAGTTATGAGTTTTCGGCAGTGTAAGGATATGCTAGAGAAAACCAACCGAATCCGAATCCGAATCCAGCTGCCTAACGATGGATGCACCTTGCAGGCATCCTTCCAACAGGATGAGAGTCCAACATTGTTGGCTGAGTCGGTTCGCTTCATTCTTCATTCTTTCCTCTTGCCACTGCTAATAGTTTAAATTCATCTGCATGTCTGTGCCTGGTTTCACGCTTTATGCACTGCTAATGATTTGATGTCGTCTCCCTTTTTGCCGGGTGGAAAGTGGAAAAGTGGTAAAACCAGGGCAAGGAAAATCCAGCAGCAGCCACGTGACGACGTCAAATGCAAAACTCTCCGGCTAATGCTTCTTCATCCGCATCCCCACATTCACATCCACATTTAAATGTGTATATATGTAGCAACATCCCTGGGCTATCTGGGATATGATATTTCTGTTCTATATACGATGGCCTTTTGTGTGCCGTTGATGGAGTCAGGAAATGCAAAGTTTGCCATTTAAGCTGCCACCTGCTAGCTGGTCAGAGAAATCGATTAGCCCAAATTATTATCAACATTGCAGCCACTCCAATTGACCAAACGGTGGGGAATAATATGAGCATGGTATTTTGGATAAGGAAACAATTTGCAATTTCGACTGCTTGAAACAAGACCAATTTCATAAACGTAAATTAAACTAATACGAAAACTCGAAGCAGTTCGAATAGTACTTTAATAAAAAAACAAAAAAACAAACAAACAAAAAAACAATCAGATACCCGTTATTCAGCTTAAGGAAGTGCGAGGGAGATGGAGATATGCAGTCATCAAGGCTACTGGCGCCACCTAGCGGCTGTTTTACAACTTTTAACCGCTCATAACTTTTTAATGAATGGTCCGATTTGAAAAATGTCTTCTACATTTCGATAGGTATTAATGAACACAACCAAACTGCATTTATTATTTTCCGAAGTCTTTTAAAATGTGGGCGCCAGACACCTTTGAATAATAAAATGATAAACTATTTATGCGGTCCTTGAAGTAATAGGACATTTTTTTATATAACTATTCATATTAAAATGAAAGAAAAATTATGATATAGGGTAATGATAGGATATAAAACTCTGTGCCTTATCTTAAAGTAAGTAAAGCAAAATCAAATGCCGTTTTGCGTAATACCTACAATTTAAAAATTACGTATACGCAGGGGGAAATTTAAATGTGAAGTGCAGCTGTCATTCGCAGACAAATTAAGCACCAAACTACACGTGTAAAAGCAGTAAGCACAGGTAAATAAAAAACAATACGAGAAGGCAGACAGACAAAAGTCGGGGCGAGTGAAGAAGAAGAAGAAGGGATGGTGGAAAGCAGCGAATTTTTATTTATATCTGTGAAAATTGCTGACCAACTTCAACGTAACGTGCCCGCTTTTCCAGGCGTTTTCCCGATGTCCTTTTCCTTTTTGTCTATTTTTTTTCGTTTCCTCGTACTTCTTTCTGTGCACAGCGCGAGTTCACATTTGTTTTTTGCAGTTGGCGCAAATATTTGGGGATTTTAATTGTTTGTATTTGCAAGAAAGAGACAGAGGGACAGGGAGAGGGAGAAAGAGAAAGAGAAAAAATGCAGCAACAAAACAGCAACAAGCGACGCGCTAAAAGAAGAGCGAAAATATTTGAACAATTCCAAAATGCGATAGTAAAGTGTTTTAAGCGGTTTTTGTTTGAATGTGGCGAAGGGGTTTCGAAGGGGGTTTTCCAGGGGTTTTGCTAGGGGTTATTGCATACTTTTAGGCTCTGCCGTCGGTTTGTTTGTGTGTGTGTGTTTGCCCTCCTGCTCCTGTTTACACTTACACTTACATGCACATTTATT